ATTGGGGGGATGATACAATGGACCATCCCCCCCCCCCCTTTGTCAAATATTGGGGGATATATCCCCCTTCCCCGGGATCTACGCCTATGTATGTACATCAAATACTGTATATAAATGAACAAACACATGAATAGTCAAACAAATAAATAAATAAATATCTTGTTTTTTGATGATGAATATTTTATGACTAATGAATACAATAATAATTAGTCCAACCTGAATTGCTTGTAGTTGTGCATCTAAAAGCCTTGAAATGGGGGAGCAGATTGGGAGAGTGCAAAGGTCACATGGGGAGGGTGAGATGATTAGGTGAGGGCGCGCTAGCTCGCAAAATAAGGTGATTTTAGGCGATTTTTAACTACTGTACTTGAACATGATTTTTGGGGGAGATTAGAAGAGGAGTTGGCGCAGAGGGGATACGCCATTGATTGTTTGTTAAAATTTTTTTTTTTTGGGGGGGTTTTCCTTTTCGTCAGCAAACATTTAACTCGGGCTTCTATGTTCCTTTAAAGTGTAAAAATCCTGAACGTGCCACAATTTGATTAAACAGTGAACCATGGATGCACACTACTGATGTATCCAATGTCAGTGCTAGAATTAATTATATATGCCAGACAATGAATACTCACCTTGAACAAAATTGCCACAGTATAAATATTCATGCCATTATTATGTTATTAAATTTGCACACCTATAGAATAAGACAATATGAAAAATAATATTCCATGCATACCTGATTGTCTATGAATGTCCGGAAGAGTTCTCCTCCATGGATACTGGTGTCTAACTTGGCCCTGCCTCCAGGGTACTTGTCTAGAAATACTGTGTGTGTGAACAGACCACAAGTTTGCCTTGGTAGAACCTGTAAAAATAGTAAATAATTAAATGAATATGTTGAAAGGGAAGGCAAGATTAAGGCTACTAATTAGTTCTGGCTATTAGCCTGGTTCTCACGAGAGCCCTAGTATCCGGGTCGAGAGCTAACCGTTAGCACCTGTGTGAGAACGCCCGATCAGTTAGCGCTAACCGTTAGCGGTATCCGGATAGCGATAACGGTTAGCAAGCGCTATCGGTTAGCAAGTGAGCACATTTCTATCATCAACCAATCACACGTACATGTTTACAATTTCCAGTTTCTTATTGGCTAGTGATTCGATCATCATATTCTTGGTATCCGGATCGGGATTTTCTCGTATGGACCCAGATCCTGCTAACCGTTAGCTGTCGTGTGAGAACATACTATAGCCTAAGTTACCACTGTATTTTTCAATCTTTGATTATCTTTAGTCCATATGGAAACTAAAGTATGGTGTTGAACATAACTTGCATTGTATTGAATTTTTTGCAGACATTTTCTCATTGTAAACACTCTTGTCAATAAAAAGCCTGGAACGATGTTCAACAAAAAAGGGAAATTGATTTATCTTTATGCGGAAATAATAACCATGGTGTCACAGGACTTAAACCAAGGAGACTGGGATTGGAAGGCAAGCATCTAAACCACCAAGCTAATAATTTAATGTCTATTCTAATTTGAATAATCCATTACTTATGCTGTCAGAAGATGTTGTTTTGATACACTACCACAAGCCTCTCCATGGCCTTAAATGTTTTCCTATCACTGGGGAAAATGAGTCCTTATGGCAAGTATGCAAGTCCAAAAATACCATAGTGTAAACATCAAACGAAAGAGCTGGTAGAACAAGGAAGTTTGTGAATATAACCAGAAATAGACAGTAAATTTTATTTTGACTTGTGACAAGGAAAGAATAACATATAAATCTTAAAAAGAAATTTATTTCCATTAATGCTTGAAACAGAAAAAGAACAACTGGATATTGAAATAATATTTCAAGAACTTTGTATACAAAATGGGGGTTATTTTTAGCAAATAAACAATTTTTTTGGAAAGATGAGAAATGTATTTCTTAATATTGTATAAATGAAGATTATTAATTTATTATAATGGTAGAGTTGTGAACTGTTTTTGATTTAAAAAATGTTTTTACTCAAGTCATCCTCAATCGATAAACATCCGAACAGATTTATGAAGACAGGGACTTCACCACAAATAAAGAAAAGGAGATCACTGTTTTTCTCTTGTCAGTATTCTCAATTCAACATTTTTTTTCTCTTCTTCCTCTGTTAATGATTTTTTTTTAAATAATTGTATTTTCAATTATTGTAAGAATTAGCCAATGGTAGAAGGTGGTAAACGTTATTTTAATTGGTCAGAATCTCACTCACGATGTTTATTGAAATTTTACAATTCATTCATACAGTAATGTAGACCACAAGAATGAAAAATTCATCAATTTCTACAAATTTCTTTACTTACTTAATAAGCAACATTAATTATTTAATCCCATTTCTGGAGGATTAGTTGTTAGGCCTTAATCATAATAATTTCTTTAATGCAATTAAAGTAAGTGCAATATTTGTTGTGTTCCTAATCTTATAATTTAAAAAAAATTATAAGGTGTTTTAATTAAGTTTAGTAATTTTTTTAATGTGATTTTTCTTTTTATGTATTTTTAATGTTTTGCCCTTTCTTGTAGCAATTTTGTATATATTTTTTATATTTTTGTAGCCTTTGACTGCTGTTTGTATATTTGTATATTATACCAGAGTAAAAGAATAATATTAAAATATATTATAATAAGTTATTATATTATATATTTTTAATTTTACAAATTGTCCACATCTCCAGGAATTCTTATAAAACAATAATTAATTCACAAACCTTGATATTCTTATGAATGAATCCCTTGCGCCTCCTTGCTGGGTACAGGTGAGGATATTCCTCGGTACTCGTTACCTGAATATCCCAAACTTTCTTCCAGATCTCATATAGAGGGTTGTGCACTGGGTACACACCGGCATGATGGGGTGCCACTGCATAGTTGTTATTCAGTGGAATATTATGATCCTGGAATTAAAGAATATGGATGCAATTACAGTTTTGCCAAAATAACAATTTGGGTTTTTTTTTCCAGATATGGTAAGTTGATTTAGTAGTTCTCTATAATTGAAAATGTGATGGTAATTTATCATAAAGTTTAGAAGCACCAGTATAAATACAATGCTGACTTTAAAAAAAAAACATCAAAAATAGTAATATATTTTGTTATAACTACTTTCTCCAGAGGATGCTCTTTAAAATGGTTCCCTCAAAACTTCACTAGATTTTCAGAAGTGAATGAATAAAATTAGATGACATAATAACCCAGAGGAACTAGGGGGTGCTGTGTTATGGAGAGTAATTTGTGACCGGAAATGGTCTGCAGTCAGTTGGTTGTTACCATGCGCCAGTGATGTTGGAGTATATAGTACAGCAATATGAAACTATTATGTAGGCCTAATGAATGAGTAAAGTTCGGAGTTTGTCGGGTAGTGAAATGATTATTTCACATTTTAAGTGCTCCCTAAATTCATAAGTGTAAGCTAAATTACGGTGATTAGTTTAATTATCGAAGATATGGAGACAATTATTTCGAATCCCTCTTTCCAAGAGGGGATGCAAATGCTTTGTGAAAATGAGTACGCCGCGGTACTCATTTTCACAAAGAAATACACACAACTGGTTAGCTAACAATTATGTCAATGTTACATGAACACCTGGCAAGGAAGGTACAATCACGTTGTTACCTAGCAAACGTCTGTACTGTATGGGGAGGGGCTGCTGATGTACTGTGTAGCGGGGGACGATGAGGCATAAGACTAGGCCTAGGCCTAATTAAGACAGTGGAATTATATGTGATAGAAAGTACACTTTCGGAAGAAATAAATTAAAATAAGAAAAAAAAATAACTAAGAATAATTCATTTGCAGAGGTGCCTTATTTAAGTATTATACAATGCTAAAAATGCGGGTCTTGTAGCCCTGGCTTGGGCAAGGCATCCATGTGCAAAGCAGTGGTGTTTGTTTATCCATGAAAAAAGCATGCCGGGAAAGTTTGCCTTACCAGGAAAAGGTGACGTATCTAGCT